CCTGCTCTATCGGGCTGAGAGTGGGCTTATTCATGTCGGCCGAATTGGTGGCACTCTGGCTTTGAAACTCCTCGGCTTCCGCGAACGCTCTGCTCTTCAGGAGGTCATTCTGCTCGGCGCCTCGGGCCGAAGTGGTTTTTGTCGAGCTCTGCGACACATGAACTCGCGACATTTGTCGTTCCCGGCTGTCCGACGAGCTTGACGCGGCGTCCATGACCCAGCCATCCTCGGTGCTGTGAGGACCCCGTGCCTGCGTCGCATCCGAACTGGGCCTCCGGGCTAGAGAGAACAAAATAGATGAGGTGGTGACGATGGCAGTGGTAGTCACGTGTAAACTAAGCATACAGCAAATTGAGAATGTGGTGAGGGAGTGTGACTGTTTTGTGCGGAATGCCAGAATTTGCGGTTCGTGTCAAGTTAGCTGTAAACAGGTTGCCTAAACGCTTCTTTGGCCACGCATGAGAGCTTTTCATAACACCCGCCTCGGGAGATGTACCACTTTTTATGAAACCACCATAGTTACCGTCACCATGTACGCTCCAGTATGTGCACTGATTGAGCCAAGCAAACGGAGAAGTGGGAGGAAAGTTTGCCTGATTTATGCCTCTTAAAAGCGCAAATCTCCCCTTAGTTTAGCCCAAACTAATCGGACAGGCAAGTCGTTTGAGGCTACCAATGGAACGGACAGCCTAGCTGAAGGATAAGGACGTCTCTAACTTTTGTCTTCATCGCGGCACTGCTCAGCTTTGTGCACACTGCGTGGTTCCTCATACCTACCCGACTGTGAAAGTTCAAAAGAGTGGGGGCCTAAGCAATGGACAAGAAAAGTGTGTTCTTCACATACTTAAAACATGCAACGGTGAACATGTAAAGCATAAATAAAGGGAAAACTAATCAGATCCTGTGGCATCAGATCACCAAGCAAGGAGGTTCGCGGATTCATCAAGTCGGGTGCAAGTGAATGAAATAAATGGTGGCGATCGATATTCACCCAAGTCAGCTCCACTTCCGAAAAAGGAAGAAATATTGAGGCTGTTTATGGCGTGAGGACGGTCAGACACGGGAGGCTATTTTTTCGTTGATGCGAAGATTTCGAGACTACCGGTAGACCATGCCTATGAGGTGTGGTCGTCAAC